GACACAGCCAATGACATATCACTACAACAGCCCGTTGCCAATGTCATGTGACCAATCACAGCAGATCACATGTCAACTGTATACAATGGATGGCTTCCTGTCATGCCATCCATTGTATACAATTATGTTGTTAGCTGTGACTGGTCAAGGCAGTCACATGATACAGACAGGGCCAATCACAGCCCATCTGTATCATGTGATCAGCTTTGCCCAATCACAGCAAAACACAACAAAAGACTGAATGAATCAGTTTCATTCAGTAACAATGATTACAAATATCAATTAAACACATCGGTATTAGCAATCATAATGTGTTAAAAAAAATCCTGATCACTTCCCCGGGGTAGTTCAATGTTTCTATGGTAACATTGTATTGCTTTGGTCACAGCGTGCTGAAAGATAATATAGTAAAAAAATGTAATAAAATAGAAACATTTGAAAAAAAATACAAATTCAATTATTATTATTATTTTCACCAAATAAATGCAGCAGAATACATTTTGACCTAAACTTATGAAGAAATGTTAGTTATTTGCAAAATTTTATAACAGAAACAAAGAAAAATGCATTTTGTTTCCAAACGTTTCAGGTGTTTTTTGTTTTATTTAGCAAAAAATAAAAAACTCGGTGCTTAAATACCACCAAAAGAAAGCTCTAGTTGTGTGACAAAAATTGTAAAAATGTCATATGGGTGCAGTGTTGCATGACCGCACAATTGTCAAAGTGCGACAGCTGAAAATTGGCCTGGACTGGAAGGGGGTATAAGTGCCCGGTATTGAAGTGGTTAAAATTCCTGTTTGTTATACATTACCAGAACGAATTACACTTATGACTTTATTTGTGAAGCAATTATCGTTATCTTGCACTTAAATCCTTTTCAGTGTTCAACATTCTGTGTTCTTTAGAGTGAAAATCAGACTACCATGAAAAAGGATTCAAAACGGAAGAATAGGAAGAATCTAGAAATCGGCACAGGTTAGTAATAAACACTAAATCCAGAGAAGAGTTCCAGATCCTCCTTGTTCAGTCACTACAACAATCTCTTCTTCTCCCCCCTCCGCTGTCAGTACACAGTAATGGGGGGACAGTATGTGCCCAGTGGGGGGGTCAGGAGCCATCAGCCTCTGGTAGACTTCAGGTATGATCCATGTAAGGAGGAGGAGATCCCTCCAGAGATCAGCACAGGTGAGGAATAAACACTAAATCCAGAGAAGAGTCCCAGATCCTCCTTGTTCACTCACTAAAACAGTCTCTTCTTCTCCCCCTCCTCTGTCAGTAGACAGTAATGGGGGGACAGTATGTGCCCAGTGGGGGGGTCAGGAGCCATCAGCCTCTATTAGACTCCGGCTCTCCTCCTCATATCATGTCATTGAGACGTGACCAGTCTCCCCCCACACACACACTCTCTGGGGTCCCTTATACATCTCAGTACAGGGGGCTTCACTCTCATCTTTATTCACAGACCCCAGAGACACCAGAGAGACATCAAAGCTGAGGAGGATGAGGCACATGTACAGATAATAGAGTAATTGGATGAAAATATGTACCCAATGGAGTAGGGATGCTCCAAAATATCGGCTGACGAAATGTATCGGCCAGAAATAGTGTTATTGGCATTTCGCTGATAGGAAAAAATGTGCCAATAATGGCTGCCGAAAACGCACACTTTTGCCACAAATTTACCTGCAATTTTGCAATGATTTTACAACGTTTAGGGTGCATTTTTCATGTGACTCAAAAAAACACATCAAAACACAACACGTGTGCATGCATTTTTTGCATATGCTTTTTTAACGTGTTTTTTAAAACTCAACATGTATGCATTTTTTTATGGATTTTTGGTGCATTTTCATTGCATTTCAGGCCTGGTTCACACCAATGCAGTTTGCTTTTTATCCGTTTTTTTGCAGTGTGTAGTTTTTTAATGGGTTTTTTTCCAACTTGCTGCTAGGTAGATGAAAAACACAAAATGTGTCAAAAGCGTCAAAAACACACTACAGTTTGCTGCAGCGTCTCCATTGAAGTTTAGTGAACCAAAGACACAACGTTTTGTGTTTAAAATTCCAACCAGTCCATTCCCCACAGTTACTACCTTTTGTACCACTAGCCCCTCCCTCCTAAATTGTAAGCTCCCAGGAGCAGGGCCCTCCTATCCCTCTTGTATTGAACTGTATTGTTGCTGTATTGTCTCCCGTTATATTGTAAAGCGCTGAGCAAACTGTTGGCGCTATATAAATCCTGTATAATAATAATAATAATAAAAAAAAAAAAGCATAGATGTGAACGAAATCCCATAGGAAACCATGTTAAATGGACTGTAGTGCTTTGCTGCAAAAAAAAAAAAAACACTAGAAAACACAATGGTGTGAGCCAGGCCTCAATGGGGAGGTGCGTTTTTTTTTTTTACTTGCCAAATATGCACCAAAAATGCTGCAAGCATGTCTTTTAACACCGCAAGGAAAGTACAACGGACCAGTGAGGAGACATACATTGAATTTAAAGGGATGCATGTTTCTTGAGCTTTTCTTTTGCTTTTTATTTTAAACACAAAAGCGGTGTGAGGCTTGTAAATTTCATCAGTAACTCGTGGGATGCATTTTGGCCTTTCTGCAGTCTGGTGTGGAGATGTCTCTGGGTTTATTTATCACCAAGGGGCAGATCTCATCCATGGCCATTCTGTTTCAAAGCCTATCATATCTTATTCCTTGGTAGAAACCTTTTTGTAGGCATTTTTTTTTTCTTGCACACCGATCCCACCCCACTCCCTTTTCTCTGTGGGACCTTCAGTTGGTCTTATCTGTTTTGGAGACTTCTCTTTTTGAACCTCTCCCTTCCCTTGTTGCTCCTTACATCCAACTTTTGTTTTTTGGTTTCCATTACCTTGGCTTGTAGGGTAACGGAGTTGGGTTTGCTTTTCCTGCAAAGAACCTTACCTGCTTCTCCACCAATGTAAGGTCGTGTAGAGGCCTTGGTCCACTTTTTCACCAAGGTTGTTTCCTTGTTCCATCTAAATCTGGACATTGTGTAGCCATCTGTTTATCCTAAAGATCCAAAAGAGAAGGTGCTTCACTCTTTGGATGCTGTTTAAGCTGTTCATATTTCTCTGACGTCTACAGCTTGACGTCTGCAGTCTGCTGTTCTACCTGAGGGTCCTTGCAAGGCTCAGGCCTCCTCTCAATCCACTATTACTAGGTGAATTTGTTAGTGTATTTCTCAGGCCTATGGTAATATATGAAGAAGGCAACAAGTAAAAGCAAAACCAGCGCTCAGGTCTTCATGCTCCACAGGAACACGGTATCAGTCACTCGCTGGGGTGCAGCACTGTAAACGATCGGGGAATCTTCATCCTACTAGAAGAAAACACAAAAGGGCGCACTCTCCTTGTGCATTACCGTGATAAAATGGAGTTATTAAAAGAATAGATAAATGTATACTCACAAACCAAGGGCCATGTAAACAGACAAGGAGCCAAAGGTAACAGTCCCAGACAATAGAGGTCCTACGACAGAGGGAGCTAATGCGTTTCGGGATTTGAAACTCCCTTCCTCAGAGCTGAAGACACTAGACATGTTGATAGCCCATATATAGGGGAGCAGATGTTGTGAGAGACCAAATGAGCAAGCTATGTGAGAGACCAAAACCACACCCCCTATAGCGTAGCGTAGGGGGCGTAAAAGTGTTGTAGCTGCAAGTATCTAAATATCTTAAAGGCTATGCGTTTCCCGCAGCGAGGCAAAGGATTTAAACTTATTCCTCTGTAGGAAGTGATGCGTACGGAGCAAATTAGCAGAGGACCAGGCTTTGAATAAACGGGGTGTCTGCCAGGCCGGGGGAAAAGCTGGGTTTCGTAGAAACGAGAGCATAGGATTATGCAGTGATTGGAGGAGATAACGGGTTTTCAGTTTATCCCATAAGGATAAAAAGTGAGAAGTGATGGGGTTGGTTATAGAGCGGCGGTCTATTGGCCTCAACCAGAGTAGGTTAGCTGTGGATAAGGGATCACATTCTATTGATTCAAGTGCAACCCATTGAGGGATTTCAAAGGTTGCATGATATTTAGGTAATTGGGCTAAATGCGCTGCTTGATAATATTTGCCGATGTCGGGTAGGCCTAGACCTCCATCGAGCTTAGGGCGGTATAGGGTGGAGCGGGGTATATGAGGACGAGTATTTCCCCATACATAGGAAAAGATGCGACGCTGCAGTGTGCGGAGGTAATGAGGGGGGACTGGGACTGAAAGGACTCTAAACAGATATAGAATTTTTGGGAGGATTGACATCTTGATAACTGCTATTCTGCCTAGCCATGCGAGGGGGAGGGAAGACCATTTGGACAGAAGAGCAGAAAGGTGGTTTAGCATCGGAAGATAGTTAGCTGCGTAAAGGTCTGATAACTTAGGAGTCAGTTTGATTCCCAAGAAAGGGATATGACACTGTGACCAAAGGAATGGTAAAAGGTGCCTTTTTTTCATGAAATTCATTTAGTGACTCCTGTTTCCTCTCTGATGTTTATTTCCTCTAGATGGGCGATACAGAAGGTATGAAAAGGAACAACTAGCTGTAAACAGCTCTACAGGAAAAAATAAAGTAACTCCAAATTTCCCCGCAGCACCTCCCAGCGCAGATCTTGATTCTACACGCAAGGGAAGTTTTACTGAGAACTCATCTCCTGTAACCCATCGTAGAAGGGCTGGTTCCTTTCCCGTGTTCTGAATGTGGTGCTTGTTTTACCCAGAAAGGACAACTTGTTTCTCACAAGAAGAGTCACTCTTCAGAGAAGCCATATTCGTGTCCTGAATGTGGGAAACTTTTTTCCTGGAAATCGTCTCTCATCACGCATGCAAAAATTCATAAAGGGGAGAAGCCATTTGTCTGTTCCGAGTGTGGGAAATGTTACCCTTGGAGGGCTTTCCTCCTGAAGCACCAGAGAACTCACGACGACCGAGAAACCCTTCCCATGTTCTGAGTGCGGGAAAAGTTTCTCTGAAATATATCTACTCATGAGACATAAAAAAACCCACACAGGTGACAAGCCGTTTTCCTGTTCTGAATGCGGGAAATGTTTTTCTGAGAAGTCAGACTTTGAGAGGCATCTGAGAACCCACACGGGGGAGAGGCCATATTTATGCTCTGAATGCAATAAGAGTTTTCCTCAGAAGGAACAACTTATTACCCACCAGAGAATTCACACCGGATTAATGCCCTATTTGTGTTCAGAGTGCGGGAAATGTTTTTCGTTGAAAGGCCGTCTAGTCATACACCAGCGAACTCACACTGGCGAGAGTCCATATTCCTGTTCAGTATGTGGGAGAGATTTTAAAAACAAGTCAAATCTGATTAGACATGAGAAGGTCCACACTGGTGATCGTCCACATTTATGTTCTGAATGTGGGAAAGGCTTCACTGATAAATCAGATCTGATGAGACATGAGCGAGTCCACACAGGTGCTCAGCCGTATTCCTGTTCTGAATGCGGGAAACGGTTCTCGTATAGGTCCACTCTGGTGTCACATCTCAATACCCACAAGGTTCAAAAGTCCCCTACGGTAGAAGGTGAAAGCTAAGAAAAGCTATCCACACCAAGATGCCTTTTGTTGCCATGTTCTTTTATCCCTGGTCTCCCGTAGAATCTGTTCGCTCATGGAAAAGATTGCATACGGTAACAATGCAACCTCTGATGATAGTCTTTAGAGACTACTGAATTTAATTCAATGTTGGTGAAGAGCCATTTGAAAGATTGAATAATCTTTTAGCATTTTTTATTTTTTTATGTTGGGATAATCCAATGGTCACACCCAATGCTCATACATGTTTCTTGTACCTGGTAGCAGTATTGGGCATTGTTCATGCGTATCTCACATATATACAATGGACAATCTGGAACTTTTCACTTCATTTGTGTTTATGAAGTGAATGTTCTTAGGGAACTGTTAACGACAAGTTTTCCAAGCCTTGTTTAAGTCTTTGAGTTTGCTCTTTTAACCTCTCATGTTAGTCCCACCTCTTTCCGGTGTTGAACCCTGGATATTCCTGTTCCCTTTAGGAGAGTAGGACCATGTCATAGCATTTGGCAGCCATGGTACCCCAAGCAAACTAGAAGACCAAAACAGTACTGAACGAGATTTTTAGACAGTACAACTCTAAAGGGGACAATCTGTGCTAGCACAAACTCCTTCAAAGAACCTAAAGAAACTCATCCTATAAACTAGGGATCTCCAAACGTTCTAAACAAAAGGCTAGTTTACTGCCCTTCCGACCTTAGGAGGGCCGGACTGTGGCCAGTGGGAGTAGAAAGGGTCTTGACATCCATGGGAAAAGAAGTAATGCCTCATTGTTTTAGTGGAAGTAGTTGTACCCCATTATTGGTGTCAGTGGGAGGAATTGTGACCCATCATTGATGTCGTGCACCATCGTTGGTGTCATTGGGAGGAATTGTGCCCAATCAACGATGTCATAGGGCCCCATTGTTGCAGTCATTGGGAGGAATTGTGCCCAATCATCGATGTCATTGGGCCCCATTGTTGGAGTCATTGGGAGGAATTGTGCCCAATCATCGATGTCATAGAGCCCCATTGTTGGAGTCATTGGTAGGAATTGTGCCCAATCATCGATGTCAAAGGGCCCCATTGTTGGTGTCATTGGGAGGAATTGTGCCTCATTATTGGTGTCAGTGGATACAATAGTGCCCAAAAGGGCCGCAACTGGACCCCGTTTGGAGATTACTGTTCTAAACCATCGTACATCTCCACCCTTATGTCGCCCAATGCATAATTCAATAGTCTTTCGGCCTAATTCTGTCTTTCTTCCAATATCTCATCAAAGGATTTGGCAGTCAGTGTTTAAAAAAGAAAAGAAAAAGTAAATTAATGATTTACATGCAGATTGTTTGATGGTGACCTTATATGGACTTGAAGGACCCAAAAAGCCTTCCATTATACTTCCATAAAGCTGAGAATAACTTTGTTAACCACTTGCCCTCCAGGGGATTTACCCCCCCTTCCTGACCTGGTCATTTTTTGCGATATGGCGCTGCGGTACTTTAACTGACAATTGTGCGGTCATGCAAGCTGCATCTAAATAAAATGTCCTTTTTTTCCCCACAAATAGAGCTTTCTTTCAGTGGTATTTAATCGCCTGTGCGTTTTTTTTTTTTTTTTTTTTTGTTTTTTTTTGTGCTATAAACAAAAAAAGACCACAATTTTGAGGAAAAAAAACAAAATGTATTCTGCTCCATGTCTATGCTAAAAAACAAAATCCCAATACGTGTAAATTAATTGATTTACGTGAAAGTTATAGTGTATATGGAGATAAATATACTGGTATTTTTTTTTTATTAGTAATGGCTGCAATCAGCGACTTATAGTGGGACTGTGGTGGGCATTCTGACACTGGGGGGAACTGACTTGGTGTCACTGACATCCCCAGTGACACCAATACAGTGATGAGTGCTATTAAAAAGCACTGACACTGTACTAATGGCACTGAGCAGGAAGGGGTTAACATGGGGCAATCAAAGGGTTAACAGTGTTTTGTGTGCTGTTTTACTATGAGGCTGTGTGTGTGCTTCACTTTAAGCACACTGCTTTGTATGGCTGTACTATGCAGAGCCATGCAAAGCAGTGTGCAGGAGCTGACAGGGGAGAGATCTGTGTTGTTTATACACAGGTCTCTCCCCCGTCGGACATACTCAGCAATCACCAGCTTGGGCCCGATGATTGACAGCCGAGGCCTTGAATGGCGGCGCGGGTAGGGCGCGTGCGCACGCCTCCTTCCCGGAAATACAAAATCACGTATAAATACGTGATTTTACGCACCTATGTCGCCCTGTAGCAGTAATTCTGCTATAGGGCTGACGGGAAGCTGTTATTATGAGAGGAGGGGGTCCCAGCACTGTGTGTGGACTGGATGGGGGGGATCATGTCACCTCCACACATCCTCATCTGCCGCTAATATGTAAAATATTAGACGGTGATTTTGCGCACCCGTGCCGCCCTGTAGCAGTATATCTGCTATAATGCAGCGCAGAAGTGGCTAAAAGAAGCTGTTTCTTTCAAGTCCCTTGACCAAAAATAGATATGAAATAAATTCAAAATTTGGTAGCTAGAACCCAATGGTCCAGCACTAAAACAAGCAAATACGAGGACAACATATGAAGACTTTCCTCTAACTAGATCTTGTGATCAGCCAGATCTGAACTCTGTACTAAAGACAAGACAACATGGCCTATCTCACAGGAGTATCTTCACATTTTTTTAAAATGATACACTCACAGGACAGAAAGATTGTGGACTTATCACAAAAATTTCTTATCTCCGTCTTGCAATTTACTAGATCATACATAGTACTTTTGTAGTAATAAAAGTTTAGCCTTTAAAGCAGTATTAAACCGGAAAGCAAACATTTATTATATTGCCGTTTACCAATTCTTAGATGTCGTGGCTGCATTAGTTTAATTTTTTGGCTTTCTGCCTTCTATTTTCATCTAGTGATCCAGCCAGTAAGTTTGTTTTTTGTTTTTTTTTTTCAAACTAACGAGCCCTCTTGCAGTTTCAGGATGAGGCAAACCATTTAACACTGGTAGAGGTGCTTAAAATGATCAGCTATTATTAACTCCTTCACGCCGGACGCACACAAATGGGCCTAGACGCCGAGCGGCCACACATTTGCATTCATGTAACAAAAAACATATGTGCTAAGAGCGCGCTCCCAGCACACATGTGCGGTACTCACGGAAAGGTCCCAGTCTGATCTTTCGATCAGGACCTTTCCCGATCATTTGACCACCGTGACGACGCGTCACGGCAGTCACATGATCCCTAAACCCCGCCCGTCCCGCCTCCTGGCGTCTGAAACTCTTAAAGGGCCAGGAGGCGCCGACGGGAAGGGGTTAATTTACGCAAAACCTTTAGGAAAAAAACTGTTGATGTAACTGCAGTATGATCTGGAGTGTGGCTTTAATTGTTTAGTGTATATACATACGCTAGTACATCTAATACACACACACAATGCTCCCTGTGCCATTCATCCAGATTGATGTCTCTCTAATACATGGTGTGTTAATGGCCAGATCACCAGGTGAAAACAGAGGGGAAGCAAGCCTAAAAAGAGAAACGAATGCAGCCTCATCTAATGATTGGTAAGCTGTATTATATTACATTTTTGGTTTCACATTTAATACAACTTTAAATCTTTCAGCTCCAAATTGTTCATACTAAAATTCTAGTGTGTGTGAATATTTAAGACTTCCCATCTCTAAGCCAATTCCAATACTTCCAACAAAAACATGTTGATAAATGTAAAGCTATGTATTTGGGAGCTAAGAATATGCATTTATCATACATACTGGGGGGGGTACAACTGGGGGGGTCAATGGTGAAGGATCTGGGGGGGTCAATGGTGGAGAAGGATCTGGGGGGGTCAATGGTGGAGAAGGATCTGGGGGGGGTCAATGGTGGAGAAAGATCTGGGGGGTCAATGGTGAAGGATCTGGGGGGGTCAATGGTGGAGAAGGATCTGGGAGTTCTGGTAGATCACAAGCTTAATAATGGCAGCAATGCCAAGCTGGGGGTTCTAAAGTGAGCAAAATCCTCTCTTGTATTAGAGGTATAGACTCCAGAGAGAGAGATATCATTAACAAAATCATTAGTAAGACCTCATCTGGAATATGCAGTTCAGTTTTGGGCACCAATTCATAAAGTGGATATTTGGGAACTGGAGAAAGTACAGAGAAGGGCAACCAAACTGATAAGAGGCATGGAGGAGCTCAGCTACGAGGAAAGATTAGAGCACCTCTCTTGAGAAGAGTTATTTACTTTCAGGTCATCACAGAGGACAAGGGGGTGCGCTTTACATCTGGAGGAAAAGAGATTTAATATCCAAATATGGAAAGGCTTCATCACAGTAAGAGCTGTGAAAATGTGGAATAGACTTCCTCAAGAACTGGTTCTGTCCAGCTCAGTAGATTGTTTTAAAAAAGAGCTGGATACATTTCTAAATGGACAAAGTATACCTGGATGGAGGTAATAACAACAAGGATAGCTGATCCAGGGAATATCTGATTGCCTCCTGGGGCATCCGTAGGGATTTTTTTCTTCATTGCATAATGAACAGCCTCCTGCACTTGAGGTGGATGTTCCGGCTGTGGAGGATCTTAGCTCTTTGACAACTTGAAATTGGCCAAGACTTTGCAGCCCCCTGAGGACTGTGGAAGCCCAAAAAGAACACTGGAAATGGTGCGTCCTCTGTTTTTGTTTTTCCATTTTTTTTTTGTCCCTGACTGGAGAAAATTAGATCATGCTTTATTGTTTGTTTTTTTTCCTTCTTCTGGAACAGCTTCGGGTGTAGGATTGTGTTTATGCAAGGGTTATAGTTTTTTTTTTGTGTGTTTTTTCTGTTGTTTGAACTAGATGGACTGGTGTCTTTTTTTCAACTTGACTATATAACATCTTTTCAAATTTTTTTTTTTTTTATCTTTGTGTCCACCATGACCTATGCGCCATGTTGTTGAACCTCCTTCCCTCATCTTGTGGGCTACAACAAAATGACTTCTTTAACTAAGGGCAGC